CAGTCTTTTAACTTAATCAACTTATTCAAGATATCATTTATTCAAGGAGACATTTACTGAGTTTCAGACCATATAGCCCCCACCCTCACAAAGCTCACAGGCTCCATCACCCTATCACATGATTTTACTAATGTAAAATACACCACACTGAAGTAAAAACAATCTAACCTAAGCTCTCCAGAGTCTCACAGATAAGTGACTTAGATGTTTGCTCAAAACTTTGCATTTCTAAATTGCTTTTAGTTCTTCTCAGAGAGAAATAACAGTGAAGGAAAAAATTATGAAAGTATGAATTAGCGGTAAATTCAATAGTTTCTGAAAACCAGTGTATCTCCCCAATCCATTCCTTCAACATTCCACTTAACTACTACAGCATTAACACAATTATGCACTTAATAGAAAAGAGTGAAAATTAAGTGATCAAATTACAAACTGCAGAGATCTGTCTTCAGAGTCATCCCAGGTCAATGTACAGCTTTCTGTACATTTTGCAGTCTACTGCTAGCCAAGTGCTCTTCTCCACCATCATTTAAGACTGTGACTTAACTCAGCACACTTGAGGATGAAGCAGAATTGTTCACTGATGCTCGAAAAAGTAGTCATAAAATGTTACCCATAAAACCATGATAGCCATAAAATGTTAGCCATCAAAATTTCTAATATTTATTAAAGAAAACATAGCTCCCTCATCCTTATCAGCTGAATTCAGATCTGATCTAAAAATGAGGCAATTGTCAGCAAATGAAGAACTTAAAATATTTTTTAAAAGAAAGAGAAATTACACGTGCGTGCTACTGTTTTGATCAAAACATGAGTCCAGAGAAAGATATCTAGCACAGCTCCAGAAATGTTTCAGGGTGCCGACACCCTCTATTAGCGTGCCTATTTGCCTGTTTCTGGTCCAACTTCCTGCTAATCAGCACCCTCTTGAGCAGCAAGTGATGGCTTAAGTCCTCTGTCTCTGCCACCCACTTGGGAAACTCGGATTGAATTCCAGACTCCTGGCAAAATTTAACAAAAAAAAGAAGAAAGAGAAAGAATTAAAAAAGAAAGGAAAATCTTGAGTATAAACATTATCACTGACTTTTGAGGCTAAAAGAACACATTCCCCTTTTTAAAAACTTTAATACATTAATTTGGAAGAGGTGAGAAGAAACAGACAGTGACATTTAGTCAGGTATGTTTTCTTCAGCTTTGATTTGGAATCATGTTCAAAATTAAAAGGAATCTGTCTCACATTCATACTACTCTCCTTCGTTTCTGTCAACATTCTGGTTCAATTCCTACTCTACTTGAACTTGTGCAATTAGAGAAATATTTTTGTTGCTCCATATCAAACCCCTACATGCCCAACTAAATAATGATACAACATACACTTGATCACACTATCCCCACATCCAAATCCCTTCAGTAACTCAGACCACCATTTAAAGGAAGAATACATTTCTCAGTCTGGCTTTCATGATCTGGCACAGTCGAATTTTTTTAATTATTATTTTAGTTTGATAATCTTTACATAGTTAATTAGGGCACAAAGGGTTAAGGGCTACAAGGAAGTGGGTAAGACCATTGTTTCTACAATTTTTTTTTCTGTATCTGGGGTAAGGAAAGGAGAAGCCCACCCAGCATCCCACCCATCCCAGGGTCCCTGACCTGGCATGCTCCAAGGGCACTGCTCAAGTGGTTTCGATAGTTCAATAGCTTTAAATTGCTGTCAATCTTGCCATTCCAAGAATGATGAAATCTCTGCAGAATCCATTGGCTGACACAGTCCATCTTAGAGTCTCCATTTCCCCAGATTTTCAATGCCAACACATTGCTGGGGGAGTTGATTGATTTGTTCTGTCCTTCATCCTCCGTTGTGGTACCAGGTGTCCTCTGCTGGTTCTGATGGATTGCAATACCCTCTGTATGCACATAGATATGCTGTCCACTGCTCCGTCTGTGCCTCTGAGGAGGTCCAGTTTTGACACTCCATAGTCAGACCATGGAACCTGCACTTCCCTTCAAGGTTGGGGCTCTGAAATGAGCAGTTCAGTTGGCAGGATCCCCAAAGAAACTTAATCTGAGGTGACCCCAGACCTGATTCTTGTGTGTGCATATCAGTATAGGGTCTGGCACAGTCCGTCACCCCAGTCAGCTCATGGATATGCTGGTGGTTGCAATTGCTGGATCAGTTCTGTTTCTAGCCCTGTCTTCCACATGAACCAATGGGTGTTGCAGTCCAGCCTGGTTCTGCCCAGCACACACTCGGCCCCCACGCAAACCAGTGGGAGCTGCAGCCTAGTTGAAACGGCCCGCAATAACTCCCACCAGTCCCGCCTCCTGCCCTGGTTTCTGTGCTTGCCAGTGACACAGTCCAATTTAACATACCTTTCCAATATTCTTTCTTCTAACTCTTCAACAGTTACTCTCAAACTTTTCTGTTATCTCTGTTAGACACTTCTGCTTACTCAGACATCTCCCTCACTTCCTGTCCACTACTTGGCAGTCCTAAATCATGAGACTTTTCTCCCTTCAATCTGATATTACTTTTTTGTAGCACTCTTACAGCCCTTCCTTCAGCCTGTGGTCTAACAATCACTTACTCTCACACTAGAGTTAGATCTAATTCAAAGGCATCTTGATAAAAGAAAAAAATAAATAAATAAAAAGAAAAAATCACCCTTTGCAATGATAGAGAAAACCTTACTGATTGAACACATTTCAACTTTTTAACAATTTGTGATAAAATCAACAACTTTACCAGAAGGGGCTCAATACATTCAAATCTTCACAGTCTGTAACTAGGAGCAATGTGTTACTTTTCAAACATAGTAATCCAATCTCTTATTCCCATCAACATTTCAAATGAATAATAAAGAATAACAATGTCTGAGTAAGGCTTCACTGCCAAGACAGACTTACACATGGGAGTCTTCTGAAGTGGCTTCCTACTGCAATTAGTGGAGGCACCCCTGAAGCCTGGGCCAGCTAGCAGACACTCATTTAGCAGAAAACACTCTAGAGTAGAGGGGAGGTCACTCGGTTCTAGTTGTAAACTGATAAACAGGCAACAGGAAGGTTACAAAAATTCACATTTGTGTGTCTCTGAAGAACTTTGGGGAGATGTGGAGTTGCTCTGTCTTAGGGAAAAGTATATCATCACCTGCTGGAAGTTTCCATATCCTGTGTCATTGAGAACACCATGCCCTAGCTGTTTCTGTTGTGAGCTGAATTAATTTCCCTACTATTTATTTATAAGTTGCATTCCATAGTACCTGGATCACCTTTGACCTTATTTAAATATGGGACTGCTGTAGATAAAATATCTGAGGTCACACTGGAGTAGGGTAGACTCTAATTCAATAGGACTAGTGTTTGTATAAAAAATGGGAAATCTGAGGCACACACACACGGAGAATGCTACGTAAAGATGAAGGCAAAAATTGGAATAATGTTCCATAAGTCAAGGAATTCCAAATTCTGCCTCCAGCCACCCTGGACTAAGCAAGAGGCTTGGACAGATGCCTCCTCATAGTCCTCAGATGGAACTAACCCTGTCAACATCCTGATCTCAGACTCCTGGTCTCCAGAACTGTGAGACTCTAAAATGGATATTGTTTAAAGCTATATAGTTGCAGAATTTTGTTGTGGCTGTTTTAGGAAATTCAAAGTATTTTCTGGGGGTCTTTCCATGCATCAGATCATAATTGCCCATGACAACATTATATATCTTTAAGTAACCAAACTTCCAAAAGATAATTGTTGTATCCATTCAACAACCACACATAGAGTGCCATGGCCACTCTATGCCAGCCACCAAGCACAGAGCACTGAGAAAGATTAACATGATCCCTGCCCTCATGCAGATTACAGCACAATGAGATAATTGGCTGCAAACTCTAATTAGATAACAACAAAATTATAATTATGATAGTAGCAAAAAATGTCACTTTCTCTCCTCTCTAAACAGAGGATAGAGGTGCATGTTTGGTAGAGTGATTAAGATTCCAGTGGGATGCCTACATCATCTACCGGCTTACCTAGGCTAGATTCCTGGCTCTGTTCCAGGCTCCAGCTTCCTGCTAATGAGCACTGTGGCAGCAGTAGGTGATGTCTGAAATACTTCTGCGTTTTTGCCACCCAAGTTGAAGATCCTGATTAAATTCCTGGTTCCTGGCTTCAGCCTGCCAGAGTGCCAGCTCTCTGGGCACTTGGAGAGGGAACCAGAGGGTACTTTACAGCCCTTAAGTAGGACTCACTAAATGAAGCCCCTCAGGACCTGACATGTGGCCACTTCCCAAACCGACTGCAAGAAGCATTCCATAACCTTCACAGATGCCCAAAAAAGCCATGTGATAGTGGGTAGTGGTAAGAAACACAAAAAATGTCTACACAAAACACTGAGCTAAGTGAAACCAGACTGTGTGCTAAGGACAACCCAGACACCCAGAAAGCTGCAGAGAGAAACACCATTCATGAGGAGTAACTGTCACACCTCTGCTAACACACAAACAACCCTGTTCAGCTAGTGAGCTAACCAATCAGACAGCTAATTTTTCTAAGAAGTAAATACTAAACAATAAAATTCCTACAAGTGAGATCTGATCATCTAGTTTTAACGCTTTTCAGGATCTCAAAGACTTTATTTTTTCCAACAGGATTCTGGCACAAGCTCTGATGTGGAAAGTTATTCCACATAATTGGATATTACTGAATAATTCTACTTTACTATTTTGATATTAACCTGCCTGGAAAAGGCTTATTTCCTTCCAAAAGCAATATAATGCAAAAATGCTAGAAAAAATAGTTCATTTCAGAAATCGTTTTCTGCACCAGAATGCAAATGGTTGCTTAAAGACTAACTACAGAATTATATTATTTATTATGAAACACAAGGAACGTTTGTTATCTAATTGTGAATTATAATCTCAAATAATATAAATATAGTGTAAATACCATAATATTTGAAAAATCAAGACAAAATTTTTCTGTAGTGTTTAATAAATGCTACCTACCTCTTATACATATCCAACAGTCATCCCTTTTATTGTGCTTTTTAAGTTCTTCTTCAGTTACTTCAATCAGCCTGCCTTTCAATCCTGTTAAGTCCTTTCCACTTTTGGTCAGTCGAATCCAATCCATAAGACTTCGACCCTGTTTTAAAGGAACCTAGAAGAAGCAAAACAAGGACATACATTTGAAGTCTTCCAGTTGGTTGCTTCCCCACTGTTTGTCTTTAGCTAACTTTCATGATTCTTGGTCTCATTTAAAAATACAAAAAAAATACTGGTATCACAGCATAACAAGTATACTAAACCTGAAGTCAGAAAACAAGTTTTGATTCTGGTTCTGCCACTAATATATGTGAGTTATAGTCATCAATTTAAATATAATTTTCTTCACCTTTAAAATCAAACATTTGACAGTAAAAGAGGCAAATGATTATTTTTTAAAGTTGATTTTCTAAATTATATATATACACAACATTAGAAAGCATTAGGCAAAATCTATTTTCTTTAAATCCACTGGAAAAAAAAGTAAAACTGTAACATTACTGTGAAGGTGCTGGCAAACCATTGCCAGGTCAACCCTGCCAAGGCCTTTACACATCCCTGCACTGAGAACTGCTTTGTAAGTGAGAGTGGTAGACTGAAATCTGAGGCCAAGACCCCTCAGTGCCTAAACATTGTAGTTCCCCTCATGCACAACGTATAGAAGTCCAGTGGATTCTTAAAACTGCTGATGGCACTGAACCTCACATATACTGTTCTCCCCACACATACATTTCTTTTTCCTTCATCATAACTCATACATAGAATTTATTCTTTCCACAGATTTAGCAAACTGAGCATGTACCTTTTTTTTTGGTTCTTTTTAAGTCGATGAATTTTAATTTTTTATCTGATAGAAACACATTATTTCTTCTCCTTGGCATATGTGTATGACCAGAATCATTACTCTTGGGCCCAGCGCAGTGGCCTAGTGGCTAAAGTCCTCGCCTTGAATGTGCCAGGATCCCATATGGGCGCTGGTTCTAATCCCAGCAACTTCACTTCCCATCCAGCTCCCTGTTTGTGGCCTGGGAAAGCAGTCAAGGTTGGCCCAAAGCCTTGGGACTCTGCACCCATGCGGGAGACCAGGGGGAATTTCCTGGCTCCTGGCTTTGGATCAGCGCAGCACTGGCCACTGAGCTCACTTGGGGAGTGAATCATCGGGTGGAAGATCTTCCTCTCTGTCACTCCTCCTCTCTGTATTCTTGCACTTTGAGGTCATTATTAAGTCAAATAAGTTACTTAAACACAGTTTGTTTGAAACCCAAATAGCTACAAAGTAACTTAGGATGAATGTCATATATAGCCTGGATGTGCTAAACAAAAGACAGGACTCCTCTGTGCAGGGCCAGAGCTGAGCTGTGTAAAATTCAGCAACACTATTCACAATACTGAATAATCTCACTTATAAATTGAAACTTTCCATTTAATATTTTTGGACATCAGTTGACTTGCAGGTAACTGAAACCATAGAAAGCAAAATCAAGCGAAGGGGGAACTACTGTCTTTATTATCTGGTCCTTAGCAACAACAACAGTCTGTCAACCAACACCTGTCTAGAAGATATACTACAAACACAATGGTTTGGATTCTTGCTTTGTTTTACAAACACATTTTAATGATTTTTAGAACAGAGCTTCAGCTTGATATGTTTTGAATGTATCCCCCTGGAAAGCAAACATTGAAAACTTAGTTCCCAGCACAACACCATTCACATGTATGGCCTAATGGGATATATTTCAGTCCTGAAGGGTCCAACTCCATGAATAGATTAAGGTTAAACATGAAAGAGATTGAGACCACAAGTTCAGTGTCTTGCTTTCTCTTGCCAAGTGACACATCTACCACGTTATGACACAGTAAGGTCTTGCTGGTGCAGGCCCCTTGAGCTTGAACTTCCTAGCATCTAGAACTGTAAGAAATAAACCTTTAATAAATCTTTGTCCTTCAAAAATTACTCAATGTCAGATATTTTGTTATAATAGCAAAAATTGACTAAGACAGAAGTATTCCTTATTTTTTAACTAGTTGGGACAACCCACTTGAAAATTTTTAAAACACCTCTAATGAACAGAACTATTGTTTTTAAAAAACTGTCTTATCAGGTTGGTAAAACAGTAGCAGCAGAACAATGTTTAATGTAAATGTAGGCAAATTAAGGAAAGATTATACACCTCACTTTCCTGTTTTAGGCAATCATTTTCCCTCTCAATTCTGTCCAATCGATCTAGTCCATTCTGTTTATCACCAATACTTCCTGTGTCTCTTAGTCCCAATAAATAAATAAAGTATGAGAAAATTATCTTCTCCAATTCAAACCAAAATCACTGTACTTCTCCATTCCATAATTCCTTAAGATATTCTTTTGGAATGAAAATCTAATCACAGGGCCAATGTTGTATGGCAGCAGGCAGCAGCAGCACTCTGTATGGGTGCCAGTTTGAGTTCTGGCCTTTGGGCTAGCTCCCTGCTAATGTGCCTGGGAAACAGCAAAAGATGGCTCAAGTTCTGGGCTGCTGCTACCCGCAAAGCTGGGTGGAGTTCCAGGCATCTGGCTTCAATCAGGCCCAGCCCTGGCTGTTGTAGCCATTTGGAGAGTGAACCAACAGATGGAAGGTATCTCTCTCTCTCCCCTTCCAACCTCCATTCTCTTTCTGTAACTCTGTCAAATAAATAAATAAATAAATTTTAAAAATCTAATTATAGGCCCTCTTTGCTTCAATTGCTTCCAACATTACCTTATAATGTTTCACAATCTGGGTAATTTTTCTTTACTAGACCTTCGTACTCCCTCCAATTATATGCTCTAGTCAAAGAACTGACTATTTGATAGTGATAAGCTACCTGCTTATTTAGTACAGATTTCTCTGTACCAACCCTCCCTACTCATTATTTCCTCCAGAAGCTTTCTCAGGCCCCCAACACATCTGTGGTCTTAACACTCTGCTATACTACTTATGGCATTATAGCTGCCAAACTTCTAGTCTATTCAGTCTATGATACAAAATTTCTTGAAATCAGAGACCACATCCTCAGGATAATTCAGGTTCCCTGTAAATACTTATTACTATTTGTAGAAGGAATAGTGCACAACACATGCCAGAGTCAACTCTGTGAGGGCTGAACAAAAGGCTCAAGGTAAGCAGTATTTACTGCAGGCTTAGCAAAGTAGCCCACTTAGTCCTTGAAACAAGGCTATACAATTGGTACTGCTATTGCCATTTACAAATGAGGCAACAGACTCAAGGAGATAAACTGGTGTATTTGGGGAAATGATCTGCGTCTTTACTTCAAAGCCTGTGCTTTTAACGACTGACAGATGAGCACAACCTCCTCAATGAGGTTCCATTTCTGCAACTTCTGCCCATCTTGTCTATCCTGCCTCAGCTTCTAATGCATCCAGTGCTGGGGTCCGTGTGGTAGGTGTGGATGGCACGAAGGTGTGAAGAGAACAGCTCCCCTGTTTGGCAGGGCCCGGGGGAGCTTCCAGCTGTTTGGCAGGGCCCGGCGGATTTCTCTCTGACCACCCTGACGCTGTTTCACCCCCTGGCTGCATGGACACTCAAGCACCCCACTAAGAATTCTGTATTCTTTTGAGGCATTGTTGTTCGCCCCTGTGAGACACTTTTGCAGGTTTTTGCAACTGATGTGAGCTTGAGAGTCAATGTCACTGATAATGTCTTGGTGAGTGGGCCTTTGACAATTTACACACAGGAACACAATTAAACTCGTGCCATTTTTGGACACCTTATTGTGTGCTAATTATTGCCTCAGAATCTGGCCCAGACATACAGCACACCCTCTGGGAAGGGGCTTGATATATATGTCTTAAATACTAATGCAAGTGATGGGAGTGAGAGCTGAAACTGCTATGGCAATAAATATAGTTATTGTTGTCTCAAAGGCTAGCCTGCCTTTGCAATTTTTTTGGAGCCTATAAAATGTAATTGTTTTAGCTGCTTTTATAATTTTTAGCTAGAGGAATTAAGGATGTTTTATTAACCGAAAATGCTTTTAATTATTGCTTTATTGTTTATGGGGTTGTAGGAGTCTATAGTTGTAGGGGGATTTAACATTTGAAGTTTCTGTTTTAGATGTTAGATTTTTTCCCTTGTAACCTATTTTCCCATTAAATGATGAGTAAATTGTAGAAATAGAAATGTGGTAGGAATGTACTACTGATTAGCAGGTAATCTCATGTGCCTTGGCCTTGGAGTCCTGGCTGATGCTCCATGGCTACTGTTGAAGAATGAATAATAGCTTGCTTTGAAGACTATGAATACAATATTTTACAGAATTATCTTTAGGGGCACCTGTTTAGCCCTGAAGTACAGACAGAATGACCGAATGTCTGTACATGCCCCCCTAGTCTCAAAGTAAAAAATAGAACAATTAGTTGCTTGTGTAGAAGCTTGAGAGGGTTTTGAGTAAATAAAAAGGACAGTTTTTTCCTGAGCTGTTGTGAGAATGCACCAAACGTCTGTGTCTGTGTCTTTCTTTATCGCCGACTCCACGCACCCTTCCCGAGCTCCGAACTCGGCTGGAGCTGGACTCCGGCAATCCAGGATTATCTGTCTCACAAAGGAGAAAGAAAAGCATACAGTCTAGAATTTTCCCTTGAGTTGTACTGCAATCTCATGTTGTTCTTTTCGGATTTGAAGATTTACCTTTACCATCACCACCTATTCTGTCTTTGCCTTTAAGTTTTTTTTCCTTTAAATAGATGCTTCTGGGTTGTGACTTTTAAAGGAAAAGAAGGCAGTTATTTATATTCTCATTCAGGGATTCTCTCCGGGAAGGATGTACTGCTCAGTGAAGTACGTAGCTTAAGGAAACAGGTCAAACATCTGGAAGGATATGTCATGGATGGCTTCAGCCGGCTGTGTGACCCATGTCACAATCAGCCCAGCTATCTAAGGCAACATTTCTCAACCAGTGTTCTTTTGTGAAGTGGCAATACAAGTTGCCACCTCAAAGGATCATCATTATGATTAAACGAGAGGTGTAAAGCACTAAGAATGCGTGCCTATCAGCAAGTAAATCAGCATTACCAGGATTAAAGGCCTCTGAAGAGCCCCAAGTCCCTGAACTCTTATTCTAATCTAGAATCAAAACTCTAGGTCTACGTGAAGAAAAATAACAAAAATTGATGAAGTTCCCAAAAGACGAGTTCAGAAACGAAAGGGGAGTGACTCAAGTGGAGGTCTCAAAAACAAAGCGGCAGTAACAGGATAAGAAGCTACCGACACAAGAAAGCAGCACTCACCTTGCAATGAACACCGGATACATGTTTTGATGCATAATTACAATTCAGAATGCACCTGTGTTCCACTTGTCGCTAACAGCAACTATGCTCAAGAAAAACTCAAGAGAATCCCACTTAACTTCAAAGTCAGCCCGTGATAACAGCAGAGAGGCCGTGATTAAACAGTTACCACAGCAAGAAAGGCGGGTCCATAAACCAGTCCCTAAAATTGTGCATTCTTGCTTCTCACATGCTCCCCGCCGTCCCAGGGTGGTCTCTGCGACCACTGCGCAGCTTCTCCATTCTGCAGGGGGACCGACCTCCCTCCCAACCCCGCACACTCAAGAACAAAGGACCGCGGAGGGGAACAGAGGGGAAGCAGCCCGCCGGTGAGTGCCCAGACAGCGCAGGCACAGCGCCCGGGGCTGTCACACAGGTCTGAAGCTAAACAGCGTTAAAGGACTCGGAGCTGACAGTGTGCTCTGAACGAGGTCAGGAGTTCGAGGCCTGGGGACGACGCAGGAGCAGAACGTGGTCGCCAACACGGGCAGAGGGCGTGAAGGCTGCGGGGTGGCAAGTGGCACGGGCGCCAGGAGCCCAGACAACCAGCCGACCGCGCCGGAGCGCCTCAAGCCACCCCACGCGAGCACCCGCCTGTCGCTCCTTACCTTGCTACGCCCCCCAGAGGCGCTGCGCTGCTGCGAGCTCGGGGCCGGGAAGCACTGGGAAGGGACGTTTAGCATCTTGGTCTCTGGCCCCGGCCCTGCCAGGGTCCGAGGCCGTACAGACCCTCGCAAACAGCAACTCCGGCTCCGGCTCGGTGGCCGGGCAGAGGCCAAGCCCCCGACCCACTTCCGGGGTCATCGGGGGTGAGACGCGCCGTGACGCAGCACGTCCGCCGAGGGCGTGGCCAGCGGGACGGGAGGCCGGCAGCGGTGGAAGCCGGTAAGGCACGCATGCTCAGTTAGTCGCGTCCTGAATTTCAGCACTGCAGGAAGGTGACAGCTATCGGTGGCACTGTTACTCTGAAGCTGTTCCTTAGCCCTGGTGCTGACCGGGTCTGCGTACTCAGAACATCACTGTGAAGCGGTACCGCCACACTACTTGGAATATAGAAATAAAATGGCATCATTAAAACATGATTGCTCTTACTTTACCCTTTGTAAAGTACTAGGCTGTACAAGGAAACCTTCACACTCTTAAGAGTCTAGGTATCAACTGTTATTTTTTTTCATCATGGATGACTGCTGACTGAGTAAAATATGTTAGTAAAGTCTCACGTTGCTCCGTTTACCTTCTCCTCGCATAACTTCCCTTCTTCCCTAGGAATTGCCGAAAATCGCGTTTTGCTGCAGCTCACCCCTAACTGATGTTGAACAACTATGATCAAGAGTCATGCAGATCTGGCCTGGACGCCATCCCTGCTCTGAATGGCTTGAGCTGTGTTACTCCAGCTTCTTTGGATATCTTAAAGCCTCATGTCTCCCATCTGCATATTTGGCTTAGGTTTTTAGTACAGATCAAATGGTAATACACCAAGTGCATAGTGCAATGCCTAACAGTAGATACAAATAAATGTCACTGGCTCTCTGTACTGTTCCAACATACTAAGGACAAAATCAAAAACACACAAGCCTCTAATGCTCAAGATCCAGACTGGCAGCCTGATGGCTTCTGTGTGCCCTTTAGGGGAAAGAGAAGAGCGAAGAGACAGATGAGAGAGAAAAGAGAGAGAGAGAAAATCCTGAGAACAGATTAAAAGAACGTTTTTCAGAGGAGGCGTTTTTGTAAACAACTTCCTCATATTTCTTTCGCTAACTTGCATTTAACACATTGCCACACTTTTAATTTTCTTCATTTCAATTACATGATCCTTAATATGTCTGGAAGTCAAAGTTGCTTATAATATCTTTTAAATTCTAAATCAAAGCTGTTTGTAGTATCTTTAATTTGACACAGTAGTTAACAGCCATTGGAGCACCCACAGCCCCTATCAGAATGTCTGATTGAGTACCAGCTCCTCATCTTCCCATACAGCTTCAAAAGGTGCATCCTGGCAGACAAGTGTGTGGGTCCCTGCTACATGTGTGGAAGACCCAGATTGAGTTCCTGGCACCTGGCTTCTGGTAGGCCCTGCTCTGGCTGTTGTCATCATTTTAGGGGAATGAACCAGCAGCTGGAACGATGGGAGATACTTCTCTTGACAAACAAAATCAAAAATAAATTAAAAATAAATGGTAATGAAGTGTGTCAACATATGTGGCTATTCACAAAAAGAAGTGTTACTTTGCTAGATAACCAGCTCTCACCCCCCCCCTTCTGCCCACTAGTCTGGTATATTATAGAAGCATTTTTATTCATGATTGAACTATTCATTGTGAGAAGACTAAATGTAAGCTAAAGAGCTTCAGAACCATTGTATACTATATTATCTGAATCTCGAAAATTGTTACTTTCTGTCATGTGATGATACACTCTTCTACAACTCTGTGGGTAAAAAACTCATCACAAACTTCACTTCCCATGAGAAAATCTCCACATGTGAATAACAACAAGGAACCAAAGCAAAGAAAATTTGAGAATATTGAAGAATGTTTAATATTTGATCAGTTACTTTACCATTCCTTGGGCAAAAATTCATAAATACGATTAGATTCTGCCTTCTGGGATCCATTTTTTTTTAATCTCCACGAAAAACACCAATTTAAATATTCTGTTCTAATTCTTGGAATTCTTCATGCATTGATACATATCAATACCAGTACTTCAAAAAGTTTATTGAAAATGGAATTAAAGGCTATCTTTACTTGGTATAAGATATTCTTCAATTCCATGCACAAGAATATTTTATTGCCAAACTTAGAGATGGGGAGGAGTATCACAATGAGATTTTACTAAGTTATTTAAAATTCCTCAAATGTAGGAGCCTTCAGACTGATTTCCTTTCTCAGTTATAATGACAACGTATTCTTTACCATTTTCTAGCAAGCACATAATAGTAAGCGTGTGATTAGAAAAATAAGGTTATTTTAATCATCGCCTAGTTAAGATAACTTTCATCTATAACAACAATATCCAAATGAAACCAGAAGCAAACAGCAGATGTTATAATATCCAGTGTTAAAAATAAACACCACAATTCTTTGCAAAATTTAAAGGTAAATTTGTAATTCAATGAACAGACCCAAATTATCCTTTACAAACCCAAATGTTTATATACAAATAAGATATTTTTAAATAGCATGTATTTTAAGTTCTAACATTTAAATCTAGTGTAGAGACTTTAAAAAGGCCATGCTACCTTAAGAATTACAAAGTATTTTATTAATAGTTTATATACAAATAAATTAGTTTGAAAGGATTATAATACATGTATACACTGAATTTTAATCTTGTAACCTGGAATGTCATAAAAATTAAGATTAATTTTCACAGATCAGCTCCTCAATTTCATCTTCACTATCTGAATCTTCATAAAATGAGATTGTGGCTTGAATTGGAAAATTTTTCAGGAGAGCTTCTGCTTCTTGATATAAGTAATCATAACACTTTGATTTGGGCCAAAATAGTCTGAAAAAAGTAGACAACATAATATGCTTTATTTTTTTCCACATACAGAAATGTTACACTCAACGATGGCCAAGGACTCCATTCAGTTCTTTCAGCTGAATTGTCAACAACTAGCAGATTACTGTAAAACTTTAGCCAACCTGAAGGTGTATAGTACAAAACTCAATCTTTTGGCTTATTCAATATGTATTTGTGTATTTATTCTTAACAAATACATAACAGGTTTATCTTCCAATTTCTATGTTCGTTGGAAAAAGAATTCTACCACTATACTGAAAATTCTGATTAAAAAAGATGTCAAAAAATTATGCACTTTATACAAAGATGGAAATTACCTACTACTTTGCTTAAAACTCAGATTGCCTTGCAGATATGACCAATGTACATTTATAAAAGTACAAAAAAAGAGTATTTTTAAGAGTTTGTCTATATGTGAACAACTCTAAGACTAGAAAGGCTCCCTCTAACCCAGTCTTGACTGAATCTGCCTCCCTTCTCATCCAACTACATTTGGTAAGATCATGCTGAGTTACTGAGAAATGATAATGGTGTTACAAAATAGTTTATATTTAAGCATTATTACCTCAGAATTTATAAAACATGACAAATATAAAGATTATCAGCTGGCCTCCTATTATTTTTGATCCAAGGAAAAGAAAGGAAGAGAGATTGGGCTGAATTACCAACTACAGTGCAATCATTTTAATGCAGGGTAAATAGGTCTATCTATCTACATGAAATAATTATTTTAACAAAACAAGGTTACGTTATGTTCAATATGTTCCATCTTAAAAGGTGGAGAAATAGACAATTTAGTTTATAACTGTGTCTAGAAAATTCAATGACAGAAAAACTCTGATGCTTCAATAAGTAACTCAATTTGATAACCATTGGAATGATCCCGCTGACACAATTCGTAATTCAAAGATGAGTAAATCATAGCTCCTACCCTCAAGAACTTGATAGCTGAGTAAAAAGAGTAAGAAACGTACCAGTCAAGACTAATATTTTTTAATAAAATAAAATAAAAATAAATACAATTAAGCTGTAACAGTTCAGAAAATATAGGAATTATTCATTCATATGGGTGACATTTTCTAATATATTTCAGAACTGTCAAGGTCAAGGAATTTAGCTGAGCTGTCATCAGTTTGCTCAGATTGGCTCACTGTGGGTCACTTTTCTAACAAGGGTTCCATAGGCCCTGAATCCCTCCCAGATCCAATTCTTAGTCCTTTGTGGCTTTCCTCTGTCAACTGCCTGGAAGTTGGCTTCACTGAGAATGCCCCCCTGTCCTCTCTGCTCCCTACAATGACCTCATCCAAAGCCAGATGTCCCTAATCCTCCACCCCCAACAGGTCCCACAGTCTGAGTGGCTACCTAGGGCACTACCTTGGAGCCCCTTAGTTATGAATGCAGCTCTCTACCAAATACCTCTATTCAGATGCCCTAAGGACACACTGAATTTAACAAAGAAAACTGGGTTCATCTTGTTCCCCAAATCTGTTTTAAGTTATAATTTCCATTTTCTTAGTACAACCTTCACCTGGTTACCAGCCACAAACTTTAGAGCAATTCTGGCTTTTTACCTATCCTTCAACTACCATATCCAAGTTATTATAAAGCCCAACCTAGTTGTCACGTAAAGACTCTCCCAAATTCATCCAGTCTCCACATCACATATAAGCTCTTAGAATGGATCAACATTTCTCACTTGAATTGGAAGAAATGACAACAGTTTCCAATTTCACTTCCCTTGTTCTAGCTAAGCCTGTATCTCATTTCTTACTGGACTCATTCTTTTCAAATCTTGAAATACAAACATACTCACACTGCTTTTCTGGTTATTTCGAGTAACTCCCAAGACCACTTACACAGTAAGCCTAGAGGTTCTTGATACCACACACAAGATTAAGTAAAGCAAGGTGTTCAAGATCTGGCCTTCCAGTACCCTGCTGGGATGATCACAGCTTCTAACACCTATATTCCAGCTCCCTGAATCACCACAAGGTGTGTGAGGTTCCTACATCTCCTTCCCAAGCTGAACTTTGGCCCTACATTGCATCCATTTAGCTAACTTCTTCAAGACCCATCCAGGTAACCATAATTCAAAACCAACATTCCGGTCCTCCTGCTCCCACTGGAAGGCAGTCATTTCCTGTTCTGTTCTTCCTTGTGTCTCCATGACAACAATTCCCACGTGCTGTATTTTTCCCTATGTCCTTCATCAGTGTCAGGGCATGGTAGAATATTACCATAGAGTGGCTACTACTTGCTG